ACACACACACACACACACACACACACACACACACACACACACACACACACACACACACACACACACACACACACACACACACACACACACACACACACACACACACACACACACACACACACACACACACACACACACACACACACACACACACACACACACACACACACACACACACACACACACACACACACACACACACACACACACACACACACACACACACACACACACACACACACACACACACACACACACACACACACACACACACACACACACACACACACACACACACACACACTTCATCTCCATCCACCTAGAGCCGATAACCATTTTTGCCCGCTATACAGCTGTAAGGCCGAGAAGCAGCTTAACCAAATCTTGCAATAGCACCGATACAGGTGCTGCTGCGTAGCGAGGGTAATGGTTTTTTCAACAACAGTATAAGGGAAAAAATGGCTGGAAGGAGAAGAAAGTCACTTTTTGGGGACAAAGGAGTGACTCAGCATGGCTAACATTGGTCGGAAGCAATTGCCAATTCACCCTTTCACGATCCTGGATGAGGCGTGGATAAATCTTAGCATAATAGTCGGCCTCTGTTCCATTCCTAGATTCGTGCAGGTTAGCCTTCAGTTCTGGCTTTCAATCTGTAGGGCGTAGGTAAGGCGCAACCTGGATGCTCGTTATTGCTTTAGCTCTCGTAGGCAGTCGTTCCAGCTTTTGGTCTCCTTTTACCGCCCAGTTGACTTCCTCGAGAATCTTTTATGGATAGCCTCACAAGAAACATGCCAGGACCTGCTGTTCTCAAGCAGTCCTGCAGTGAAGCAATATGGGATAACAGTTCTCTTCAGTGCGCGGCGATGAAGATAAAGCTGTCTGGCCTGCCCTTCCTTCCGACTTTCAGAGTCGGGTCTGGTGATTGAGGCCCCTTTTGTCGGATTGAGCACTGGGATATCAGGTTCGGCTTTGCGACACTTAGTGGTATTCCGCGGCCTCTGGCTTGTACAAGCAGCTGATCAGATCCATAGGGATGTATTGTCATGTTATAGTCGTCGAATTTGTGGATCAAGTCGCCATGAGGCTACCAACGGAGTCTTGAAATGTCCTGGTAAGCAATGGGCAGTTTCACTTGCTAAAACATGGCCTCGATATCCACGACAGGGTTATACTAGTGTTTTTGGGACTTCGAGAGCATCCCTTATAGGATATTCATGGGGTCTGACGTAGTAAAGAGTTGGTCTTAGGGAAGTTCCTCACTTTAGTAGCGTCATCGTGTTTATGGACTCCGTGACGCGGGAGTTAACATTACTTTTTGCTCAGTTCGGTTTTGTCCTCCTTTCGGGATTATTTATGCGCAATCTTCAGGCAAAGGGTTCATCGGTTCGTAGAAGTTTCTTCAAATCAATCAATCTCCCCGTTGCCGAGCCGCGGTTGTCTGAAAAACAAGAGGACTTAGGTTTCCATGGCAGGGTTATTACATAATACCCATAAGTTAGGGATATTGGAGCAGCCATGTGACTTGATTTTTTTGGCTCTTGGCATCATCTTCATAAACTCAGCATTGAAATCGGTTCCAGACTTGTCTGCAGTTCTACTTTCTGAGTGATATCGTTTACTCTGATGTTTTGCATCTTTTGGAGCTTTGACACTACAGGGTCTTTTGATGCGTAAGGATTATCCTGTCCGCAAAGGCTTTGTTCCAGCACTCACCGAGGCTTTAGAATGTCGATTCCATTCAAAGCACGAAATTTACCGTCATTCACTGGTAGTAGTGTCATCTCCTTCAGGTGGTTTCATTTATGCAGGCTCAACTGCGAGCGTCTCATAGGCTTCGGCTTCGATAAGCCGTTGATTGGGCAAGTTCCATGCGCTGGCATGTTTTCCTCGTAATCGGATGACAACATGTTAAACTTTACTACTTATCGGAGCAACAGCTTTCTGGCGGTCCATTTTTGCTGCTGACGAAGTGTCGATTAACTGTTTTAAAGTGTCTATCGAAGGTGTTTGGAATTGCCTCACCGAGTGGACTGCTGGTGCAAACTGTAAGATCACAGTGGATGGTCTTTGAGCAAGTACATTTTTAAGCTCGAGGGCTTAGTGACTTAAGTAACGGGTGGTGTTGCCCACTGCATTTTGTGACCTGGCAACGCCAAAGTAAGCGGCAGTCCTTTACCCCATGTTTCAGTTTCAGTCGCAAGTAGTTCAGCGGCTTTCTATTTTTTTGAAACGATCATCTTTTGATAGGTGGAGCATTTGTGAAGATATTGGGTTTTGCTGCAAGAAATACGGTCTTTGGTGGATGCCCTCCTCGTTGGGCTGAACATGGTGTTTGTTTGCGCTGATGTAATAGACCCAACACGGTCACTAGACCTCTGAATATCTGTGGCTTTCTTTGGGTTGGTTCGGTCACTATCGTGGGGTTTTGGCCGTGTAGTACAACCCAAACCCACCACGACAACAGCTTACCGTCTCTTCGAATGTTGGCTCACGCCCTGTTTCCATTGCGGGAGAAGCTCTTTTAAACTACTTGCTCTATGGTTGATGCGGTATCCTCTGAACAATCGTACTCAGATTCTTGCAGACGCTCAAATTGGATTGATATTTACGCTGCTTTAGTGAATCCGAACAAAGCCTCATGGCACCGGCAAGTTTGATTAGCGCTTTTACGTCAGAGAACTTGCGGTTGGACTCATTCATCATTTCGTTGCGGCAGTTTCTCAGAATGGAATGTAGTTGAACAAATCAAGCTAGTGTTGCTACCGGATTGGAGCAAGCGACGGGTGAGAAGTTCCGTGCAAGTTCGGAAGATCTGGGCACTTTCGTAGGAATCGCGAGGCCTTTGGGCTCTAGCTGCAAGGATACCAATTACGGGTTTCTTTAAAGGTGGCCAGCCAAGTGGGCTAGATGCTACTGCAGAGTCAACAGTTTCGGAGGAACTCTTCTTTGTTCAAATCTTGAACTTCCTCCCAGCGCCCCATTCTTTACAACTGCAATACTTTTCAAAGTGAAAACTTTCGTATCTTGGTTAGAGCTACCTTTAGCTTGCGACGAGGGCGAAACATGGGATCGGAAGCTTGCATCATGCCTCCTCGATCTAATTGGCATGTTTGCTAAAGAACTTATAGGCAGACGTTGTCCCAGCACAGGATCTACCTTTCCTTCCAGGCGATTAACCCATCCTTATTGCTTATGCTCGGGTTCGGTGAGAATAATCCATATTGAGTGAATTTCTGAGATCACATTTCCATTCTCCCATTAAAACGCGTTGTTAACGGGGAGAGCTTTCTTTTAAGCATTGAAAAGTGGCTTTGATGTCGTTGCTGTCTTTACTTCTTGTCCTTGTGATTTCACTCATCCTACTTATGTTTTGTAAGTACCCTCTACCAAAAACTTGACACCAAAATTGCTCATTTCACAAATAATTTTCATTTCATCGGTAACGGATGTGAATTTGTTGCTTTGTTACTTAATTTGGGGACTCACGCTTCATCTTCATTGTCTACGTTTATCTTGTGTGATATCAATGACAGAGGAATGAGCAAATGGTCATGGCATGGATATCTCTTCTAGTAATTGTTTCTCTCAAAACCTGATTTGACTTTAATGCGTCCTGACGAAAATAACATTCAAGTTGCTCTTTCAGTTTGTGGAAAAATGTGGAAAGATCTCTTCAAGAGGGATGTGGTATTAATCAGCTTAAAGCTATTCTCAATCGTTTAAAAAGTCCTCGCTAACCGATGGAAATATGCACCTTCATCCACTTCTTCGTCGACAAAATTTTTCATTTCACTTCATTATTTCGAATACGGCTTCTAAAATTTGCATTACTTTGCTGATAATGGCACATTCTTGTGTTCACTGTGATTAAATGGAAAACTGGGATTTTCACATGAATTTTTCTATCTGTTTACTCTCTTTTGAGTAGGTAGTAGCATTTTAACACAACATCACGGCTCATTTACAATATTTTTTTCTTTTAGCTCTCCCGGTACTGGATAGTCTGCTCACGTCACGCAATGCAGAACCAACCACAGAGTCTTCTTCAACCACCGCCCCGTATTATTCAGCTTAAAAAGTCCCATCCATCACAATCCAGCATTGAAGCCACTCTTGATAGCAGTGCTACGCACTCCCCCACCCAGTCGGATGTCCACTCAGTCGAACCGTCTGGCCTTCCCTCTACCCCGGTGGAACTCAATCAATCGTTATCGCCGTCTACGATGGAGCCCTCTATCCCACTTGGTGGAAGTGCCGTGGATACCGGTTGCGCTGAAGGAAAGTCGGCTCCTGGATCGTCCCTGACGTTGTATAAGCAACTGGGACTCAGTCAGATCCTCCTCTCTAATGAACAACGTCTCCCGCTGGCCAACTGGTTCCGGCCAACTAATATCTCCTGGTGCCTGATTTGCTCAAGGGCCGGGGAGATTGTCTGCTGTGAAGGCTGTCCGTCCTCATTCCACCTGGAATGTCTGCATGTTGATGATGTGAGTGGACTCTGATTTACCCAGCCTCGTTCTACACGGATTGCATGTTTGCCTGTAGTTTTTTTGACGTGCTAAAAAGAAGCGATTTTCGCTTTGAAGGTTAGTCATTCTTTGCCGCTGCTTGTGTCCCTCCTCCTCTCACCTCTCTCTCTACTTTTTCGACAAAGTCCACTTTCCCCTTCCCTTCCTTAGAAGGGGTTAAAAGGGTGGTGTTTAAAAAAGCGTGTAGAAGCCACAAACGCACTTTCCCATTTGTTTGAGGGCTCTTTTTTTCCATTGTACGCGCTCGAATTGTCTGATTTATTTATCCAGGACAGATTTAAGGCTAATTGGTTTCAACTGTTTGAGATCGCTCGAGTAACGAGTGGGTTTGGCACATAAGTTTTGATTTGATTTGAACCCCGTAAAACCCCGAGTTATCACTTGACTTTTGCCTTGAGTGAAGTCAGTTTTTCATGGATTCTGGTCTAAAATGATAGTTTATCACTTTTAGTCGCCACTTGGAAGAGTAGTTTTGACGGCTTCCAGCATGCTTTACACATACGTATTTCAATTATTCCGACTACTTACTTTATTGGAAGCTGTAAATTAACAATTTACCATAAATCATTTGACAGCTATGTCTTCAATTTAGTAACTATAACTTTCCAACAAACGATCAAACGATTTCCCTGGGTGCGATACGCGTGTTTTTCACCTTGTTCATTTTCTCAGGGTTTGAAAAACCTCAGCAATGTGCCAGAGGGACTATCGGAATTTTTAACGCGTAAAATTTTGCCTCATGTACTACCGCGCCTTTTTGAGCAGTTTTTTGCCTCTTCCTCTGTCCCCTCTGCCTGACCTGCTCCATTGTAAGCCACCACGCCATGTTTACAGCTCCCCCATCCCTGTGTGGCTGGAATCCTCCTCATCCGTGTGAGATAGGCATCTCTCTCCTCATCCTTCTCCTTTGTCGGAAGTTAGTTCGGGGCGTTCTAACAAACACTACGCAGTCGCAGCCGCAGGCGCACACGCACGTAGAAATACATTGCCGGATATGTTTTGAGCGTGCGTGCGTGCGTGCGTACCACGGTTAGCATCTTTTTGTCTTACTCGGATCTGATTTCACCGAAGCAGAGGGGCGCGAAGAAATACGAGTTTGCTTACGTCGTTTACCATGACGACTTTTATCTCCTGTCATCGATACCCTATCACCTGAAAACAGCAAGGGTCGGTATCTATTTTGCTATTATGTTATTCTTTGTAGCACATCTCTGTTTGAAACGGTGAGAACGAGGAATCTCTGCGATTAAAAGTAGGCTTTGTACATTGAAATGACTTTAAATAATCGACATTGTTCTCACATGTCAAATTGCAGTTTAGGTAATTAATTGCTTTTGTAGGAAGTAATTCAAATGGATAGTACTGTGCAAGTCTTGCTGTTATTTTACCGAAAGCAGAGTTTCTATCTAACCTTACGAAGTGGGTTTTTATTAGAAAGCCCTTCAAGTAGAGCAACCTTTTTTGCTATACAGTGAGGAAGTAGAGAGCATGACCAACGTACACTATGGATCTTTCATTGTATCGTTTTATTGAATGGTTCCGTGTATTCAAACAGGCGTTTTTGGGCCAAGGGAGTTCTTAATAATCGGATTTTCATCAAAGGCAATCCATTCTTGTTCATTCGTTTTTGTATTTGGCTTTGATAAGTGACAATCTCTTGATATACAATGGTCATTTAGATTTTTTGACCACATAAGTATTAATTCACTGCGAAGCTCTATGGCCTTCCTGAAGATGGAAGAAGTCGTGGTACTAGGGCAGGGAATGTATTGCCGGCATACAGGAAGGCTGGGGGAAGAGCCTGCTGGCACAGCCCGAAGGTCATGCCGCCCAGCGGAAGTACAATGGTGGAGCTTTAAGTGTCCGCGAAACGATGACGAAGAGTTAAAAAATAATAAAAGTATTACATAGCCTACCTCTCCTTTTGAGCGTTGGCCCCGGCAACTCCTCTTGGCCATCACAATGTAGGTCGTGCTGTAAAATTAACCCCCCCCCCCCCCCCAACCAACTGCGTCAGTCATCGAATCTGCCTGCAGCTGAGAAGACATCTGACTGCAACCTTTTTGATCCTTCTTGACAATTCTACTGGATCTGGAGTTTCGTCCTGTTTGGAAACTGCGTTGGGGGGAGGGGAATGTACTGGCCATCACGTATTTCCATCGCTAGTCGTTGGAGCATTGGCCTAAATGCAGTCATTCAATAAAGGACTGGGTTTAAAGTAGTTTCGTGGCGATAAAGTTTCCATCTGTTACTCCTTGACATATCGCTCTCACTTCAGTGCTTCCCGGTCATATTTACCTGGATTCTGTCCAGCTAGTACAGCGGCAGAGGAGATGTCGCGTATTCATTCATTGGCATCGTTATACAGGTACCGTAGACAGCTCCGTAGCGAACTTTTTCAGATGGTTCAAGGTTAGCGTCGCTTCATTTGTTAATAGCAATCCTGTGGAACACAGGACTTGGGTGGTGGATGAAGGTAAAAGTCATTTTCATCCCCTCTGTTAGCGGTGGTTACAAATTCCCCCATCCGCAGCATATGCCCTTCTCCCGTCCCGTTAAGATTTAGCATTTAGAAACGAAGGTCAAGGTAGTTGTCCTTTTGGATCGGGTTCGCTTTCTACTTCCACCAATGTAGCGCCTGAGTCTTCCCTGAAGAAGAAAGAGGACGTGATACTAGGGCAGAATATGCATTACCGGCGTACAGAAGGGCTGGCAGAGTCCATACCGTCCAGCGAAAGTACAGAAGCAATGCTTTGACTACCCGCCAAACCAGCACGAAGTGTTAAACAAATAATCAAAGTGTTGCTTTTCATTTACACGCGCTTGGTTGAGTCCAAATCGGTATTCATCTTAATCGCGTATGTTTCAAGGATAGTTGTTGCTCTTTAACTCATGCCACTATTTAATCTCGTGGATTCAGACAAGCACTGGTAAGCTCCTGAGAGGATTATAAATTGTATATGCTCGTGGAATTGTTGCAACGTCTGCGATCATTGCACCACTCCGTTTCGTCATTAATCCATTAGTTTTTATCATCTGGAAACAGTCCTGTTCGCACCTGTATTCGGCCTTGGTAGGTAACTTTCACCTCGTCTGTAGGGCTTATCCTAGTTATATTTAACAATTCGTTCCACTGAGGGATTTTGTGGGTTTCAGTGAGAACCCAGGGACCGAACAAACCCTAGGTGGTTGACCCTGCCCTTGCGAATCAGAAGTTGATTAAGACATTCTACTCTCCAGGTTGGTGTTCATTTTCATTTATTATCATACGAAAGTCGTTTTTTGTTGCATTCTAACCATGCACAGAGAGGCGCATTTTTGAACCATGTTTTTAATAAGGACGTCTCATTTCGTCATTCACATTACTGATTGTAGGATGCAACTTAATTGAACGTTGATCACAGTACGCCTACGTAAACCACCAATCTTTTGCTGACGGCGATTTTAATGAGTAACTAGGCCATTCGTAATTGACGTTTTTAGGAGATTGACTGCGTATACAACAATGCTGTTAAGTTGATTCGAAAAGGGGTTAGAGAAGGGACGTGTTTTTTGTACCCCCCTTTGCTCTGTCTTTCAATTTCTCTCTCCCTAGCGGTGCGAGTGATTAGTTTTACACCTGCATGCATTTGTTTTCCCTTCTCTCCCTGCCTCGTCCACATATGCGTGTGCGAGATACTGGGAGAGGGTGATAAGGCCACCACCCACCTTCACGCCTTAGCATTTAAAGCATAACTGCTGCTGACCGGAGTGTTTCCTCCCCTCTGCTCACTTGTATATAGGCGGTTAAGGAAGGAAAGAGGAGGCGGGCTTTTAGCTGAATAATTAGCGTCATTTTTGGGATAGTGTTTCATGCATAAGCTTGGGTAGAGTAAAGGAAATAAAGCTGTGTCCATTTTGCGACTGACAACTACGCCCTTGGCAGGCGACTCAGCAATCCGTCTTCATGGCCTCCTCATAGGTACACACTAACTTGTTCCCACATATCTACGTCCGTGTGTCTTAATTGGCATCCAATCACTTTGGCGTTGTCTCATGTCAGTTCCTTCAGTGAAGTTGCATTTGTTCCACTCATTTCTCGACCACAATAATCTTTCCCTCTATCAGCTGACTTTCCCTCACTCAAGACACAGGTGATTTGCTTTTGCCAACCAGGTTGTTGATGCTGGGATCGCATGATTAACGCAACATCCTACTTTTTTCGAAGACCGGTCTTGAATCCAGTGAAAAGGTGAAGTAAACTTATCCACACCCTGTTTAGTGGTGTTCGACCCCATTCGACGAGTTGTTTTCCACCAATCCGTTGTTAATTTATTCTACTGAAAAATATAAAATAACAACATCCGTGATGAACAAGATGTTTATCTTTGCCTCCAAAGTGTCGCTTAATTTCTTGATTCATTTCTACAATCAAAACCCGATACACTTCAACGCCCTTGGCACGCGAGATTGCAAGTATGGACGACGTGTGGGCAAGTCGGAACTTGTGGTACGGGAGAGGGAGACTCGGATAACCATGTTTATTTTAAACAAAAATTAAGTCCAATTCCTCCGTTTCTCGACCTGAATTAATTCACCGAATCTCTAAACTACATGCGATCTCCGGGACTGGTCCAAAGGTGGTAGACACGTGTGTGTATGTTTGTGGGAGTGTGCTAATTAGGCTTATTAGTTAATTTAAATATCTCATCCTGAAAAATATATTTTCTCGTTTGGCGGTCATAAACTTACACGCACTCACACCTGATGATGTTAACGCAACTACCACCATCACCACAGGGTATGGGTTTCGGCCAAATGTCGTATCAGCCAGGCAGGGCCTTTGAACTGCCTCCTGTACTTGTCCTCTCCCCCTGCTACACATCCCCTAATCTGCGCGACTTGTCCCGTATGGCGCAACACCCTGTGTGAGTGCCACACTTTGATGTCCCTAGCCACATCAGTGTAGTCATCTCCCTCTGCCGATCTGGAAGGGGCTAGGCTAAGCTAATTTGGGCTCTCTCTCCCCTCCTCTCTTCCATAATTCGGAGAGGGGAGTGGATAAGGGCAGGTGTGTGAGGGTGGTGGAAACTCGGGTTTCAAGTGATCAAGTTCGGCGATAATTAACGTTGCCATTGCTGGTGGTGATGCTTCTGGGAGGTATGCGCGATCTTGTTTTAACCCAATTTCACCTAGTTCCCCTCATTTCGAAGCTCCTTGATGCTTTGATCGAGGAGGGGTTTCCCACTTTTTACTTCATTGTTGGAAAATTTCTTGACTCAGTAACGTTACCAACAGGCCTTCGTATTTCTAAAAAGGTAGTGCAAAATTTGTTTACCTCTCAATCGCTTCACTCCACCTTGTAAAGACTTGTCTGTGCAATACTTTCATGTATGGGTTTGTGATTCTGGGCTCATTAGCTTTGCACAGTAACACAAATCGTTTCGTTTATTGAATGCTCGCCGATCTGTGAGGGGCTTGGTGGGATTGGTTTAGAGTTCCACTTCTCTAATAGCTTAGTCTGAAGGGAAAAAGTGGAATTATGACAGAAGGGAGAGTGTGAGATCGGTAGAAAAGTGTGCTTTTGAGTGAACAATTGCGGTGATAACGTTTGTTTCAGCTTGCATATCAGAATTGTTGGCACATCTATGTGATGTTTGTTTTAACTCCGTTTCCAAAGTCGTCAAGCCTTGTTTTATCCTAATTCTCTCTGCGTTCTCAATGGGATCGGATATCCACTTTCTGTCATGATGAATAGCGATTTCTCCCTGTTGGTTGCACAGTCCGAAACCTCCACGTCACCATATCCGCAGTAGTTGTGAGCTGCTAGACACCTTAAGTAAACCTCATCAACGTGCTTGTTTTTCTGGAAAGCTAGTGTAAACTACTTTCCTACTTGCGTATATCTCTTAATCACTTCATCTTACTTTTGTGGAAGCTTCACTATGACAGTTTTATTGTCTTAGGAAGCAAAGCTATAAAACTTTTATTATTTTCACAGTGCACATTCTCGTGACCCTTTTTTACATTCCAATGACGTACACCACTGTTCTCAGTACTTACGTAGATAAAGTTGTGTACCCTTACATTTTCGTTGAATTCCTCAATCACCAAGCGCGTCTTGTGAGCGTTTCGAGAGCACACATTATGGGCTTTGCGAATTTTGATGACTGCCAATCTAGAGGGGGCCTGGTCATTTTGCTCTCCTTCCGTCTCCCTTTTCTACTAATTGGGAATGAGGTGCTAAATTGGCGATCACTCGAGTTTCTTTCACCAAGCCTTTCGGTGCCACCGAGCCCTTTTCAGTGTGAGGGTCATATTTGCTTGGTTCCCCATCTTTCATCATAATCTATTTAGTGGATTGGTGAACGCTTTATTTTCGTAGCCCATGGTTATTTTGAAGAGTAAGGCTTCTTCCTCCTCCTGTCACTTGGTAAAAGTGTTTGTGGGTAGCATATTCACTCTTTCGCCTAATTTTCTCTTAGTTACTTGTATAAATTTGTGAGGAAGTATAGTGCTTCCCAGTCGTTCCGCATAAATCTTGTGATAACCTTTCTTTATGATAGTTTTATCACCTCAGGAAGTTGTCGCGTCTTCAAAGATGTTATTGCGCCACAATGTGCTTTCGTGACTCCTCTTTCTTCAAGTCCGTACGTTTTGCACATTGACGCATATCACTATCTTCACTATCCCATAAGTTAACCGTTGTCTCTCCGGATTTTTTGAATTAATCTCAATTTTTCTTTTTGAAATGTTTTGAGGAATTTTCGAATGCAAATAAAAGCGTGAATAGCGCTGTTTTGTACCTAGAAAAGGCTTGGTGGAGTTAATTCCCCCTGGATGTCCTTCCCCTCTCATCTGCCCCCCTTCTCCCATTACCCGATGGGAAAGCGGCACAAAGTTAGAAGCAAGTCCGAAGGTAGCAGAAGATCTGGTTTTAGGTGGCCATTTTTGGCAATAGCTAAGGCTGTTTTCTTCGTTAAGCCCTCCATAGTGGTAAAAATACGTAGTTTTTCCTTTACTTCTCTCAGAGTTCATCATCCTTCGTTCAACTTGGAAGTTCTAGGGTTTTGTCGGAAATTGTTTCTCACTCTTTTACTTCCAACACCATTAAATATATGGAATCGATGAGCGTAATTTAAATCTTGGCTTATTTTGCCTACTCTCCTCTTTGGTCTGCTGCATGGACTAAATTGCTACACAATTTACGTTTTGTGCTCTTACACCTTGAACAGTATGCAAAATTAGCTAAGAAATATTCGTCTTTAATCTTTCGCTTAAAGTCGCATTCCATCTCTACCTGTATTTAAACTGAATTTGGCATTCATCAAAATGTTTTTGAATCTAGCGCTTAATTTCACTTTCGTCCAGGTGGAAGACCAGTTCTTCTGCGAGGACTGCACTAACGGTCGGGTTCCGCGCTACAGTGAGATCGTGTGGGTGCGCGTACCACCCTTGGGTTATCCGGAGGTCACCAAGGCTTTCAATAACCTCACACCTAACCTTCGGTTCCTCCGACACACCTTTCCCCCCGAGGATGTTCACAAAGATCTCAAGGGAGTGCGCTGGTGGCCAGGCGAGATTTTGCATCAGCGTTCCCTCCGTCTTGGTGGTCCTGCTACCACCGACTTCGAGCAGATTGATCAAGCCGCACGCCTCGGTTTCTTCGCCGTCCGACTGTTCGGTCTCTACTCGGCAACTCCCTTCAATGGCATCAAGCCGCGCGATGCAGCTACTGCCGTAGCTGCAGCGAGGACACGAGGTGGACGAAATGACCGCCGCATCTTCCCCGTATGCTTGTGGACTACACAGGCTCGTGTCTTTTACTTCGAGGAGGGGGATGCCGAAATGGAGCAGGATGGTGAAGACGGGGACGGTGATGGAGCCGGTGCAACCTCGAAAGTTGATAACAACGAGAATGAAAATTACAACGACGACTTAGAATCATCGTAAGCTTCATTGCTTATTTTAATGGCGCGCCGGGTGCGCTTAGGACTACTCACTTACTCATCAATCACTAAAAATGTAAATATCTTCCATTTTTCACATATCATGGTGTTTGTGTGCATGTGGTATTTTGATTAGCTTTTTTCAAATCTTGTTCAAATCCTTCCATTTGGTTGACTCTAGTAGTCTTCCTTAACAATCAAGCTTTTTTTTACTTTTCGCGCCTCTAGGAAAGAATTTTTTGGCAAACCTAGTCATTTTCCCACTTTAGAGCGGCATTCAAATCAAACTGACTTTTTGTAGGTACAAAATGATGCCATCGCGGCGGTACGAAACGCCTTAATGTGTTCTTTTGCTACTTACCCCTCACGCATGAGGTGGTAATAAATGTGAAGGGCAACGGTTGTAGTGCGTGTGTGGAACGGTATGTGCTGATGTCGTTTCTCCTGAACGGTTGGGTAAAACTTGCATATATCCACAGGAGGCCTCAGGCCCAGTGCAGTAATTGGGTGCTCAGTCGCCCTGGCGCAAGCGTCTTGGAGATATTTCTGTGACGATTCAGGTAGCCCATAGTGCACCTCATCCTGGATGGATGATAGAGGCATAACTAACCTACTATGAGATTTCGCAAGAGATAAGTCTCTTATCAATGGTGAATACAATCATTTGTAGTTTCTAAAAGTTAGAACATGCTGGTACCAAGAAAGCCTTCTTTCGATCAGCACTTAAGAGTTGGATGTTTTGCTGAGTTGAAGAACCGTTTTGACAAGGAAGATCAGGGCTTTTTGATTCACTATTTCACTCTAAAATTAAAACAAGCATCAAACTAGTGGAAGGATGTAGATTCACCACAGTTGATGAACTGAAGCAGTCATCCTAGGATAGCTTGGCGAATAATAAACAGCTTTCTCGGCCAAAGTGCTTTCCATTTTTTAATTAAACTCTGGGACAAGTGATTATATTTAGCGATTTCCATACCCTGAAATGTGTTACCTTCTGACAAACTCGTAAGCCTCTACTTAGTTTCAACGTCCCTCATGAAGTGTGGTTAGGCTTGTAATTAGCTTTAACAGAGGCAGAAATTAGCCGAAGGGAGGAAGGGGTTTGGAGAATGAAAGGCGGTTCAATCAGCCAGCCACTATTCCGTTTTCTACTCTTGAGAGTGTCCAAAATAATTTCTCTTTTTTTCACTGACTGACATTAGGGATGAGGAAAGCATGGCTGAGGAGGACCCGATCATGACCACTTTCCTCTCGCCCAAACTTAACTCGTCGCGCTCTTCGAAAGCGCTGTCTAGTCCAGCCCTCGGTGATCGAATCTCCTCGCCGTGCTCGGGCCGCCGCGCGGAGCGCAGGAGCATCGAGAATGACCGTCAGTGTCGTCGCAAGCGGCTTGCTGTCCAATGGAGAGAAGCTTACCTAAGGGCTACGAAGATGGCGGGCGAGGGTTTGGCTGCACGGAAGGCCACACGAGCGGAAAACTTGAAGAACTCCGAGGATCGCCCAGATTACTACGAGTATATTAAGGCAGGTCTCTTAGTGTCATTGGTGATCTCTGGTCCCGTAGAATGGCGAAGAATTATAAAAGATGTGATTGCTGGACAAATTGAAGCATGGGAAAATGAAAAGTTTGCGTGCTTAAACACAGGATAACTACAAGTCTGTTACGCGCTTCGACTGTCACAGGGTCGTAGTCCAGTGTGTTACATGTAGTGACTTTCCATCATGAGGATGCAGTTGAGTATCCAACTGCATTGATGCCCTTTGCAGAATGTTGTGTTTCGTATGCCTTGTGCTGCCTGAGGCCGGTGGATATTCTGTGAGCGTGTGCCTTCTGGCAATCTTCTTTTTTGGAATTTTTCTTCGAACTCACAATTTGGGTTAGCTTTATGATGTTGCATCCTGTCTTCGCCTCTCTTTTCCGCTGCCTGGGTCATCTTTAGATCCTAGAATTGTGCTGAATTATCTCACTTCAATTTTTGTCATCGACTCGATTTCGAGATTTGCCTCTTTGCATTGAGCTTCAGTATCATCGCCACTGTGAAATACGTGGGGTTCGAGTTACCTCTGAAAAGTTATATCAATCAACAGTCTAGAACTAACATTTCTGTAGCAATACAGGAGGGTGAAAATAATTTTCAACACTGCAGGTGTGGTTTTTGAATTGCGGAAAGTTGAAAGGACCAACTAAAACGAATAGCCTTCCCTGACAGCCTTCGCTTCTTTTCATTCCCGTATTTGACGCTTTCCATGGTCACTCTTCAACTTCATTCACCACCGGATGAAGTCAATAACGATGATTTCGGTGGTATTTCCATCGTGAGTCTTCTACGATTTATCCATTAGTGAGTACAAGTTTTTTGCTGATTTAGAGTAGGATCTTATATCGCCCAAGACATATAAATTTGGAAGAAGCTGGAAAGATAATAGCAGACGCTAGACATCTATCAGTCCACATACTTCTTGGTCCCTCAGGTGAAACAAATACAAGTGGTGCAAACATTAACTTTCAGAGAGTGCGAAAGTAAGACAGGACCTAGCACGTGTGGATGACTGGAAAAACCAAGACGGCAACGGTGTTGGTGGCAGGATTAAAAAGGCACCGGAAGCGTCGTCGCACCGTCTCCTGACCGCAACCGGTTAGCGACACGTGGAAGTGGAGACGGAAGCGGTCCCCTCCTCTTTGTAATCTCCAATGCGATCATATCCTCTAGCAAACATTTGGTGCGCTCTGGTTGTTGTTGATTTTGTTCGTTCACTAGCAGTCGTGGTGCTCTTTCTAGGTGCGATGAAAACCTGCGTTTTTCTTCTTTCTGCTTTTTTCTATTTCTGTCTATAATTAAGAAAAGGTAAATGAAAAGAGAGGCAATTTTCTCTCAGTTTCTTTAACTTTGGTATCATGGCTACTAGTTTTACTTTGCACTTTTCGGTTCTTTTCACTTCTACGTTTAATCTTGCATGCAGTTGGTCGGATATTCGGCAATTGGGAACACTAATGGAGGTATTTCAACCAACTCTTAGAAGAATGGAAAAGAGGTTTTTGATTTTTGCAGCTATAATCGTCAGAATTATCTTTGTAACCGACTATTGTTTGGCCATAACCTATATTTAGGCTTGGTCGCAATACTTTTTGGAATTAGTAGGTCTTACAAAAGCCAATGTCTATTCAAGTCATTCACTGGTATAGACGAACTTTTCTTGTGTTACAGGCACATATTTGGACTATAAAGTGGTCTCTCCTACTGCCCACTTGTCATTTCAACAGTCCACTACTATGCCTTTTCACAGGACCTAACGTCCTTGGGAGTAAGAAATCACAATAGACACATAAACACCTACAGTGAGATTTATTCGGCATAGCAAAAAAAACCACACTTTCCCTCACTCTTTGTTGTTGTTGCCGTTGCTATTTTTTGTCTTCTGTTTGATGCTTGTTAGATGAAATGAATAATTGCATCTACGACACGTCTAACGGGCTTCTTTTTCTTCCTTCCTAGTTGTTGCCCCTTTCGTATCTTAAGTATCCATGGGATTAGCATCTTTTGAAGACCCTCTTTTGCCTTACTACTACCACTTCTGTACTCTTTATTTATCTAAAGTCGATCCCTAGTGAACCTGTGAAGCCTTTAGTCTTCTTTGTAGAGAGTGAAAGACTTCGGACACATTCCACGGTACTGGCATCAATATAGTACTCAAGTAATCTTGTGTCTTCAAAACTTACTTATGGACGGTTTTAGTGCATTATGAGTCTTCACGAATCCAACTCTTCTTGATAGATGCCTTTTTATCTACAAAAATCCTTTGGCTCATCTAAACTTAAGCCTTCACACTAATCATATAAATTAATCGGAAGGCTAGTACTAGAGCTCCTTACCACCGTTATGGAAGTTGAATCTCACGGGAGATTGGCAGGACCTACTGATTAACGTGCACGATTAGAAGGAAGCAGTCAAATCATTCAGCTGCGACTGTGGGGCGGACATACCGCGTTGGTCTGAGTTTAACTGCTGCACTTTAACTGTGCTCTCTTTTTTCACCTACTTTTAATTGAAATGATGATAGTCAACTAATTATGCACATAAAAAGCCGAAGGGGGAAATGCACAAACGACGCGGCCGGTTGGAGTGATGCCTCGCCTTGATTAAGGACCATATCGATGACTAGGGTGATACCACCATCGTGTCCGCCTTCTCCTCATCCTATCGTAGCATTATTTTTTTCTACTGCTCTGTTCTCCATTCTGGTAGTGGCGATGTCGTCCACTACTTTGATTCTATTCCCGCAATTTTTGTATCTCGTCCTCCACTCCTTTCAGCATGGTTACCTTTTTTGTGCTCCCTGATTGTTGATTTGTTTGGTCTGATAATGACGGAGACGCCATTTATCGCTACTTTCGCCCTGCGTGCTCTGCATTCCCAAAAATTAACTAAAAGGTCTCAAAATCTGTACTTTAAAAAACTCGCCAATTCCGGTTGGCGGAAGGCTTTGCAGCTGGAACTGTTGTTACCTCATCGCTGCTCCTTCACCACTGTGGAAATCGGGGTCATTTATTGCTTTGTTTATTTGCTGTATCAAGTCCCATTCATCTGTCAGGTTTTCTTTGAGGTAATCATTCGAATATTACAGTCCCAATCGTAATCATCTTTTTCATTTCCTTAGCATTTCCGTGATGGTCTGACGTCTACACCGGTCATTCCCCAGGCGCCTGCAACATTGTTTTTGAAGTCTACTTATTAGTATAGTGCCTCAGATCTATTGTGAACAATTTTTGAGATCTCAGTCCCTCACAGCAATTGATTTCGGTTGCTTTACCAATATCCAGAACTAGTTCCTGCAGTTGTAAAAACTTGTTGATGGCGAAAGTTGTGCTCTGAAAGAACTGGAAGGAAGGCTTGAAAGGGGCAGATTGTCCGTGATATTTTTCGTCATTTGTTTCGTGCCACCAGAGCTGGACATTCACTCAAAATCCTCATCCACTAATGGTATTCTTGATTGAGCCCTACGTCCTAGACATTTTGGGGATGTAAATTCTTACAATCCGTAGCATTGTGTGCGATGCACTTCCTCCTTTTCTCATCTGTTCCTTTTTAACATTACAAATTTGCGATCCCTTATAAGCTCTACAGTCCCCATTCGGTTGAAAGACTTGAATCACTAACTAGACCCAGCTAAAACCCTCATTGTGGGGAGGTGTTGCGAATTTATCTTCCGTGACTAGAATTACAGCTTAATCTCGTTTAAACAGGTATGTTGTTCGGCGGTGATCTAGGTTATTTCCAATTCGTTGTCCCCGAGGACATTGCAAAGCATACGAGTGTTGAGGCAGTTTTAGCCTGTATACAGGAGACTAGTGGGTTCGATGTTTGAGTACTTCTATTTTTAGTTCAGTGGATAATTTTGGTGGGGTTAAAATCTTGAACTCTGCCTTATGTATGAAACCATCACTCCTGCGGGTGAATGCTAGCTTGTCCAGTCTAAACATTAACAGGGAATCTCGTGTAAGAAAGAAGGTGGTTCATCGGTCAGTAATCCTTCTGAAATGTCATACATCTTCGGAAGACTTTAAAGACCCACAGCCCGGGGGTATTTGAGGAAAACTTGAATACTAGTGTTACGAGTGCACCATAAACAGAGCCTTACTCCAATGTCATAGTTGCCGAATTTTCGTGGGAGGTTGGAAAGGACCCACATGGGCAAACTTCATTCTGCTCCCAGTACTTCAGAAGTTTAGGATAAAAACTACGCAAAGTCGGGTAGTTTGGATGATGGAGAAGTGAACTTTTCAACTTGAAAATGGGCAGCAGTTACCTACTGGTCATTATTCCATTCTACTTACAAGGTGAAAATTCAATCTCGAACAAGGGAATGATGGGCGAATGTGATCTGGCTCAAATTTAAGTATTTGTCAGCAATTCAATCGCTACATCGTCATTAATGTTTACTGCCCCCTTTACGAATGGGTGGAAAGGAATAACCACCAAAGATGAATGCTCTGTCGTGGCTGAAGTGAATGAGCTGCATCAATGCGCAACTCATTCGGAATAAATTATGTAGACTTCTGGTATCTGAAAGCGGCACTGCAGTGGCGTGAGCATTGTCGCGACAAACGCTACTGTCCTGCTGTCGATTTTGAGATTTAGGATGACTGACTGCTACCGTCACCGAATTACATTGAGCGCAAATTCCACCCATGGATCACTGCGATTTCCGTCACCCGCCCCTTATGGCTACAAATATTATCAATCACACGCTCTATTGCAGACTAGCAGTTAACCATCGTCACCTACTCTTTCGTGCCTCGTATTTTATCTCCCTACCTGGCTCACCCCAGAGACCGGCATTTTTTCATTTCGTTTAATTCTTACTTTTCACCTCGACACCGCTCCCAGGCTTGGTTGGAGACCGGATACGCCCGGACAGGCAGATGGACTGGTGCGTATATGTGTTTAACGATTGCTACTTCTGTGTGTGAGGAAAAAGGGTGGAAGCTGGGGTTGATGTTTTCCCTGGAGGCATACAAATATACTATCGAATCACAATTTACGGACTAGTTTAGTTGATTTCTTGCCTTTTATGCGTGATTTGTGATTTGAGCACTTAGAGAATGGGAAGTTGGACCATAGACCGTTATATCCTTTTGATTCCTCTTTTTAAAGTGATATTTTTTGTACTTTGAGAATGCAAATCCAGTGCTTGGGACAGGCAATCAGCGCTTAATTTTACAAGGTTGGGACCACAAATTTTTAATTAATTGGATTTTGGACTGCTACACCAACTCTTTTTCGTTAAATCATGTCGTTTGTATCTCAAGAGTGGATATTTGTAGCTTAGGATGATTAAATGTGCTCTCGAAGCACTCTCGAGCAGATTGGTTGAGAAAGAATGCACGATTGTCTGCAACAAAACTAACAGGTCTGTAATTGCGTGAGTCTATTAGGCAAATGCTTTTTTCATGAAAACTATTGATATCGCTTTTTTGGAACCCGAAATTTGTGGTTTATTGTAGGCTCTCGCTATTCTATGCACTCTCAAGTAACCGCCGTCCTATCTAATGCGACAGTATGCCCCAAAAAGTTAGCTGACTATTGAAGAAATTGACATTTCTCCGAGTTTAGGGTTAAACCTATGTCTCGTAACTCACCCAACATTATTTTCAGATTGGTGTTATACTCACAAATATTCCTACCAAAGATACGCGTCTCATTTGGGTATACTATTCATATTTCAGGAGTAATCTGATCGGCGCGGTTCGCATAAGGCCTTAGAAAGTGACCACTGCATTACAGAGCCCAAAAGGCATTGTCTGGAATTCATAAACCCCTTTTAGCAATGTTAAAGCTGTCATCTGTCTTGTTTCTATCTTTCCTACTTGCCTGTGTCCCTATTTTAAATCTAATGTGGCGAAGCAATTTGATGTATGGTAGTGAAAAGACATCCATCTTTGTTGGTGAGTTCAGCCTCTCGTAGTCAACACGCAGCCGACGGTTTCCGTCCTGCTCTACTGGAGCAATCGGTGAGGCCCTTGGTGATATTGTAGCGCGACGTCGTAGCCAACACCCGACGCGTCTCCGCAAACGTGACCAACTCACTGAGGGAGTTGAGGTCCATGCTGTGGAGTTTATCGGCCATAATGTGTGGCGAATTTCATATCTAAACTAGACGGTTATCCATCTCTCAACTTCGGTTCGAGGTGAGCCGCAGAGAATTCGTTCTACCAATTGTTGTAGGTTCTTGACATACCTTCCAGCGTCTTCCTTTTGATCCCGATGGAAGAACTTAAAGTGGCGTAGCTACAGCAGTGGGACATTGACGATCTCCTGAAATTGGCACATCTAAATCGCCTGTCATTTTGACGATGAAAACAAGAGAATAAGAGAGCGACGGTTAAATGTTCAGAAAACCTCTAATCTGATTGGCAATTTCTCGCCGGTTCATCTCCTGTGGCTTTTGCTACGCACAAAAAAGCATTCACATGCAATAGATGCCTGTATTTTGTAATCGTTTTCCGTGGTCTGAAATTAAAAGTTCAATGGCGGTCACGAATTATGACTGACTGGCCCGCCCATCTGACTCAGCCCACCTTGACTTACGCTCTGGTGTTCTAGACCAATCGGGCGATCGGTCCAGTGCGGATCCGTCGATGTACTGATCTGTCAGAAGTACCACAATGCGAGTGTAGTCCCTCCGATCCCTGTGGTCCGAACAGCGGTTGCGTCAATCGCTCACTGCTCTACGAATGCCTCGCCAGCGTCTGCGTGCACGGCAAGGCCTGTCGTAACCAATTCTTCACACGCCGCCAGTACCCCAAACAGAACGCTTTCTACACTGGGAAGGAGCGCGGTTGGGGCCTCAAGACCTTTGTGGCCATTCAGAAAGTCTGTTTCCAATGTTTTCGTTGATGTCTTGCTGGCGTAATGGTGGGTCCTATTTCGATCAAGAGTGGGAAGGGGATGAAGTTGTTTTTACTAATTTGAATAACTGATGGAACGCCCCGCGGACGAATCCTTTGCTAAAACTTCTATTTTGTTAAGCACTCCCAAAAAATGATCCAGACTAGGTTAGATGTGCAACTCAAACCCCTAAGGGAAAGTCAGAAGTGGCGTGAACTCGAAATTTGTTGAGTAGGAATTCGTTCTATCTAATCTCCAATTAAGGTTCATGAACCCTGATTTTATGAGGGGTCCACTTCAGTGTTCAGGAGGAATGGGAAGTGACGAATCACAAATACTCCTCGTTTTATAGTCCTTCAGAATCCACTTAACGACCGTTCACCGGCAATGACTCATGCAATATGGCCATTTTTATCTTCTAAAACCACGAAATTAAGTGGATGGTCATATGGTGGTCGACAAGCTATTGGAAGTCCTTGTTAGTCAAAACTTGATTGGACTAGTCCACGAAGCCTGCTGAACTAAACAATAGAGTAGTTTAAGGTTCAGCTTTGTTGGGGTAGAGCATCCTCTATTGCTTAGTTCTGTCTCCCGGATGTCTTCTAATCATTAACTCTCTTATCCTCTCCTTGCATAGGGCGACTTCGTGAATGAGTACGTAGGTGACCTCATTGATGAGGCAGAAGCCAACCGGCGACTGACGTTTCTGCACAAAAATAACATACATAACTTTTACATGATGAAAATGGACTCACAACGCATCATCGATGCCGGACCGAAGGGCAACTTGAGCCGCTTTATGAACCACTCCTGCTGTCCCAACCTCTTCACACAGAAGTGGACTGTCAATGGGGACACGCGGATCGGCCTCTTTGCTCTGCGGTGAGTTGAGCTGACACTTTTTATTTCTGGACTATTTTTGATTCCTTGAGAATTTTGATGAAAAATGCGAGAGAAAATGTCAGAGTAGGATCATATTTGGCGCTTGTTGATGGGTATAGTATCACCACGGTTACACGCTTTCTCATGTATGTAAGAACGGAAGTCCATACTTGGAGCCTGTTCTAATCCTCCTTCTTTAGCAACATCGCTCCAGGCGAGGAGTTGACTTTCAACTACAATTTCTGCTCCCTCGGTCAAGAAATGAAGGTGTGTTTCTGCGGCGCGGAGACCTGCGTGGGCTACCTGGGTGCTCGTCCCGATCATAGCTCCGCTGCTATTGCTGCCTCTGCAACCTCCGCCTCTGCTTCTAGCACCACCACCACTGCTGAATCGGCTCGTTCAGTTCAGGAACGCAGTCGTCGCAGCACCACATCTCAGAAGCAGAAAAAGACGTCTGTTTCCAAGAAAAAGGTTTCTCCTTCCCCCTCCACACCCTCCACCGCTACCATTACTGCCGCCTCCGTCGCCGCTACTAGGCACAGTAGAAGCGAAATTAAGTCTTTATCTCCCTCCACCACCGTCAAAATGCCCAAAGTAAACGCGACCACACCTAACGCCAAACTCAGGTGCTACCGGTCAGTAACCCCTTTCTTTCCTCTATTATCCCTCTTTTTCTTCTAATCATATCTTCCTTATGGCTCGATTCGTGTGCCCTAGTTCTAACATTTATCTCTCTTATCGTTGCAATCACAAGCCTGGTGTGTGAATTGTTGATGCTGCACACACCAATCCTTTTTTTATTTAAAGTGTATGAGTTGTGGTGCGTCTGTTGCGTTGGCATCGGCACTTGAATCCAATGCTTATTGAACTGGATGAAGAATGGACTGGAAGAAACCCCCGCTCAATTATGGCATAGAACAGTGTGTAGCGCTACTAAGTTACTAATCCAAAAGGACTCAATTTTCCAATTTCTGAAGTTTTAGAGATAGAAGATGCCATAGGATTGTTATTGGCTGTCCCTATAGCTCAAACTACAGCTTACTGCCGCGATCAAAACTGTGATCGTTTTAATATTGGTGGCATGTGATACGATGACTCGAATTTCATTACCCTATTGACGGTGCTCTGATTGAAGAGGGCGGCGGTAGAGTTCACAGAACTGTGTGACCTAGGTGTGAAGTTACATCGAAACAAGTTTCGGAAGGTAGCTGGTAAGCGGTGAAGATTTGCAAATAGTTGAGTGCGAATGTTTGGCGTTTGCGTACGCACTCGTGGAATTCTCAAACTTGCAATTCTTTTCCGGCCTCCACAAATCATTCGGCTCACCTATCCGTCGCCCGCCTGTCAATGAAGATGCCGCAGCTCTACTTAGGCCTAGGAGCTGCACTCTTTCGTCTCGCCCCACCTTTCTCTAGCTCCCTCACTCTCTGCCTAGGTTTTTTGCATTTTGGGGTGGGACTCCAGTTCCGCTCTCATGTTTCCCTCTTTTTTCTTCCCTATTGTCTCACTCACTTCTATTCCTTCTCCTCTTTCTCCACCACGCCCCTGTTCCCCTGCTTTTGCCTACTTCCTCAGCAAAATTGGGAGAAAGTAATGCGATGTTGTCGTCGTGGCCACATTCGCCATATTGTTGTAGAAGGCGGAAAAGTTGGGGATTTTTTCTTCTTTTCCACACCTCTCTAACTGGTTGTCTTTTTCATTCTTTTTTTGAGATATTTGTAACAGTGACCAGTTTTAGCAATACTGACGAAATCTAAAGGGTTGTGAAGGGAAATACCATGACTACTAGGCAGTTCCACTTTAAGCTTTACCAATTCTAATGAGAACCTTTTAATCTTACGAAGCTTATTTCGCACAAAGCTTAGCAACTATCCAATGGTAGATAGATTAACGTGCCTGATAATGGGATTGAGGATGTCTACTAACCTTCTTCCATTGTAGGTGCAACAAGCTTGTCTCAAACCCGCGAGAGATTCAGTCTTCTCCATATTTTGCATCAAAAACCTTGGGAAATGCAATTGGCCTAAACGGACCCAAGCGTGGACGTCGCGCTGCCGAGAGATACACAAAGGCCGCATCCTCATCTGTCACCGCCAATGCCGGCATTATTTGCCCAGGTGTCGACTGTCGTAAGGCTTATCACATGTCCTGCCTCTCCATTAAAGATATACCCACTGGTAAGCACTTCTATCATTCCTCAGTTCAGTGACTACCGCCTTTTCCTGTTTCATTTTTAACTCACCACCTTCTTAATACTTTCATCACCTCCAAGGTCGATGGATGTGTCCATGGCACCACTGCGATGCCTGCGGACGTCCTTCGACGGTGTTCTGCCAGCGTTGCACTACCTCTTTCTGTTCAAGTCACGTGGAGGGCAGTGTAGCTGTCTTGCCTCCCTTGATTCCAGGTGGATACGCTCAGGTTTGTCCACCTTCTTGCTGCTAATTCGGGGTTAAATTTAGCACTGTTTTATCTACGGCTTAGACAGGGCTTAGAAAGGTCACAGTAGGTCTTGATAATGTAAGAGCTTTTGAATGCGCTTGAAATGAGGATGAAGATGGTCCTCGCTCTAGAGTGAATCTTGCAAATGGTGTATCTCTTTTGCCTCCCTTCTAGGTCGTTTGTCTGTCCCACACGGAGGTAATTGAAAGCTACAATAATCAAAATGACTCCTTGGTCAGTGATAGCGATAGCGACGAAGATGACGACGAGGAAGAAGAAGAAGACGAAGGTGAAGATGAAAATGACCGAAACGGCATCTGTTCTCACAATCTAATCCCCCCCATTGCGGAAACTGAGGGCGAGGAGGTGGGCGGAAATGGGAGAAAGAAGAGGGTGGAGGCGGTGATAGAAGAAGGAAGCAGTAACGCCAATACCAGGAGGGGCGGAAAACGTGCCCATGAATCCCCTCTCCTTGCACCTGTCCAATCTTGTAAACGTCAGCGGGTTGAGTCCCTGACTAACGGTGACAACGAATTGAAGTCCTAGGTGATTCTTCTTCTTGACCTAGCATTTAATAGCACTATTCAAAGTATTTATTAGTACCTGCGATAATAATGTTAACAGTAATGTTGCATTCAAACCGATTGTGTTGATGGTCGCTCTCTTCCTCCTCACTTGCCTGCCCGGCTGCTTGTGTCACCTCACTTTCCTTCACCCCTCGCTCCTTCACCCTCTCCCCATCTTCTCCTCTCCCGTCTCACTTTTGTTTGTACAGCGCGAGATGTCCTCTTCCACCCTATTTTTTTAGTGTGTGCTTTTACAAATAGGTGTGTTTATTATTATACCTATATGTATGTATATGTATGGGGTAGGTCCTATCTTCTTGAAATACAATGTCTCTGTTGCCAAAAATTCTTAACTATTTTCATCATCGCTCTCTTTTGAATGTTTCAATCGTTTGTTGTGTGCGATTGCGGTTGAAGTATCTCTTTGAAGATGTGATGGATTAGTCTCTGGTTCCTCATCTGTTTGTCTCCAGGGTATCGATAGGGCAAGGTGATTGAATTGGGCCGTCTTATTCCATGCACTGGGAGTCAGTTTAGAGATGGGAGGTCATATCAATGGGTGGAAGCTCAGTATTCACCATCTGTATCGACATGAAGATCGGAATTCCGTAAGGCGGGTTGATGTCTCAGTGTTCCTCTGCTACTTGAAATCAGTATTACTCTAGAGCTCATTGTCTACCAGCCATGATCTACCCATGGGTCAAAACTGGTTAGTTTTTTTTAACTTCGTGTTTGCATTATCACGATTCTGTAGGTTTGTCCATTGCAGGCTAGTTTCACACCATCCAAAGGTTGAGTTTTGCAACCGAATTGTCCCTTAAACGCTGTAACGGTCTTGGAAGATAACTTTTTAAAAGGGTCAAATTTAAGTTCCTTCCTTCTTGGAACTACTTTGCGGAAACGAATGTCCGACTTGTAAACCATCTTCCCACGAACACCCTTCCACTTTTGAACAAGCATTAGATAGGCACACCCGAATAGGGTGTCTCAACGAGATAAGGGTTTCCTTGAGTGTTACTGAGTTTTAACCCTTTGTAAGGAGAACACTGTCTATCGTTGAAAGTAATTTATGGAAAGTCGGACTGTTACCTTTGATTTGTTGGGCCAATGAGAAAACAGCCACTTTTCCAGCACCTTAAGTTATCCTTGAAGACGCAGTAGTCCGAACCTCACGACGTCATGAAGATGGCCAAAATGTGGAGACTGACGAGCCCTGTGCGAGTCTAGGATTCCTTTACATCCATCATGCTGTATGTGACCTTCAAGCAAAAGTCGTACCAGTGTGTTACGCCATCTTATCAGCTGTTGTTGTCCAGTTGCTCCCAAAAGCGATTTGCCTGGGACCACATCGTTATTTTTTTTATGGGCTCCACTTCATGATCGGTGTCTTAGGCCATACATCAAAGGCAGGAGAAGTAATTAAGCTCCAACAATGCACACATGCATACACACTCACTGAAGAGGCACATTTCAAAACGCATTAAAGGCCGAAAAATGTTTTTTTTATCGCCATGCGTGCTGTAGGAAGGTTGGCAAAGAGGGGTGGACTGGCTGGCTGGTGGGATAGCTGGTAGTAGTAGTAGTGGTGGTAGTAGCGTCCTCTGCCCTGCCCTACTGTCGTCTCTTAGCGATTTGGCTTTATGTTATCAGGGCATGAGAATCACGAACGGCCATACATATATGTGGTGTATGCATAGAGAGGTAGAGAGAGGCGCAGTGCCATAAATCGCGTTTACGACGATCAGATATTAATGTGAGTGGGCGGGTTGGGGAAGGGGGATACTAACTACTACTGGGGGGTATTGTGCTTATTTATGGGCCTTGGTGAAATACTCAGGAGTTGGAACTGGCTACGAGTTAATGGGAGAGCCAAGCTTGGGTGTCTTGACGTAATGCCTTCACGGAAATGCATGAGGGGGGAGGGAGGGGTTGGAGTGAGTCGACACCGCAGCAGACAAATCGCATTTGGATGGAGGGGGCTCCACCGTGTGGTCACCAGCTTATCGACTCGCCCGTCTTCCCACTTCACCCTCTTCTCCGCCTTGCCATCTCTCCATTATCTCATTAACACTGTCTGCCGGTAATTTTGCCACGTAGGGTAAGGAGGCGAAGTATAATTAATCAGTTATGGTAATACCCTAGTGATATTATCATCCTGGAGTTGAAAGTAGATTGAAGAAAATCTCCAATGCTTGAATTTAAACTTCGGTCAGTAGTGTAGGTGACGGCAGTTGATCAGGAACCTGTGCTTTCAAGTTGTCAAGACCTGAACTACTCAAACCTAAACATTGACCTTGAATAGCAGAAGTAGTCGTAAAAAATTGAAAAGCATGCCGAAAATTATGAAGCGGGATGCAAAGGGAATCAAAGTGACAACATTTGTGCCATTAGTAGACAACGATTAAAGATTGAATTAGTTGGCAAAAAAAACCAATTCCTAAAGTTATAAGAAGTGGACTGGCTAAACAACGGTCTAATGCATTGTAAATTGCTGTCATTTCTAGAATTTCTTCCTTTTACAAAACAGCAAAGTACGCCTAACCTTAGCCCACCGTGCTGTTATTTCTCAGTCAGCCATTCTATTTCACGTGAGGCCACGTGGTTGTCTGGTATTGAAGCCAAGGGAAAGTGATAATCATCGCTTGGAAAAACAGCATTCGAAAGGTGCCGAAGGATGAGTTGAAACAGTTTCTCCCAGCCTCCCTTTTCCCCTTAAGAGATCGCAGTACGAGGTCGTTACGAAAGATAAGCTTTGCGGTGTTATGGAGTGTTGCAGGATACATTGTCTTGCGGACGGTCCCTGAAGCGGCTTTCCATCTGTTACTGCATCGATGGTGGCGCAGTTGGTGTCCGCCCGGCTCTACGGACCTTTGCCGAGAGTCTAAAGTAACAGGTAAACCGTGTCGCAAATTGATGGCTTGGGCCAATAACAATGGACTAGATGCTCCTGATATAAGGCCATGATCGGAGTGATCATAAGCGTGAAGTAGGCAGTGGAGTAGCTGGACTGCAAGGTTGACTGCAGTAATAATATTCCAGCTCACTTTCATACTGAATGCACAGCAGTTCCTTGCATTCCATTTGACTGGCGGACTGACTTCTCCCTACAACTGACTGTACAGTGGGTAACTACTAGCAGCTCATCGACTTCAATCAAAACTGCTCTCGGACACAGAATAGAATACGTACGACAGAAGAACGTCCTGACGTCATTGCGAGATGCTGGACGAGGCTTGTCGTGACTTCCACACCTTACCCTACCCTACTCTATAAAAAAAGATTATTTTGCATAGAACAATGCACGAGGTTATTGCAGCCCCAACATAGCGCAATAATACTTGTCAGGGGTAGGGAGACCCGTCAAAGCAATGACATGGTGTCATGTAAATGAACGTCACTGCCACCGAGTGGAAGAAAGCTGTCATTTAGTTGAATAGCTCAACTTTACACCACCCAATAACAACGATGAATAGTGTGGTTTTTGAGGCGTTTCCAAGCCACATTGGGGCAGAAAAAAAATTTTAATAGTATAAACTGTACTGCTTCTCCACCTATCCGCTTTCTTGACCACACCGCTAAAATTTTCACCCCCATGACAGGCTTTCAGACGTCCACACCGGTGGCAATTACTCGAAGCCTCAAAAAGGATCACTTGCCACTGCAACAACGATGTGGCACCTCACCTCGCGTCCCACTCGAGTTGGAGTTGCTGCACCACCCATGTGGGCTTCTAAGCCGGTGAGGTTGTGTGTTGACTTCATGAGAGAAAACCACCGTACTCAGTACCACCCCCATGCACATCAGCACATCACACAGAACGTAATGGCACTTTCACAACAGGCCGTGAAAGTCACGGTGCCGCTGCCAGCTAGAACAATCCACTTTGAACACGCCACTTTTACTCCAGATGGCATTTACCCCACCACCTCACCTACAGACAAAACTGTCTGAAAGCCTTCCACGCCTTTCTTTGATTCTGTAACGACCCATGTTAAACCTTGCCTCAAGACGATTTCCAAGGTAATGTCATGCTCCCAGAATGCCTTAAAACTGCGTTCTCCACAGCTAGGGTGAAGGAAAGTGTCATTCTCACAAAATTTGTTTGTTTTAAATGTACCCTTGGCTACGCAGGGCCTTAAATGTTCGGGGTCTGAATTTTTTGTTTTGTTTGTCTCACCTTCTGGTCGTGCCTATAGAGCTTCCTAGCCCCTCTGGCCATTAATAATAACTCTTCTTCTATCTGGATTGGTGGCAAGTTCTTTTCCGTAAAAATACTCACTAACTAAATCATGTACTCTAGTGAAATTTAATGCCGTCAACGTGACGTCTGTGTTTGGGTCCACACAAGACGAGGCATGGAAAGTTTGCAGAATTCGCCCATTCTGATTCGTTCAATTCGGATCTGAAGCTATTCCAAGTATTGCAATTGGAAGAAACGACGCCTCTATTTTTCTTAATTCCCTCTGCCTAATTTTCACTTTTGACAACTCATTTGACTATCCAACGACAGTTCAAAGTTAAATGTGGCTCAACCGCAAGGCTCCCTTCATGTCAACTCAAACTGAACATAAATGTGCTTTTATAGTATAAAATTTTCCCAAAATGTTAACTGATGTTTTGAAGCCTTTCATACGCATGTCATAAACCTCTTTCCCGAAGTCATAGTAGGCCATAGCAGTCTGGAAGAAGGAGCATGTCAAATGAGAAGAAAGGCTAACAGCAGAAATGGAGGAAGGACTGAAGTTATCGCGTAGTTGAACGAACGAATAAGAGTTCCTGCGTATCGAAGGAGGTGAAGGGGTCAGGATCATGAAACACAGCTTTTTACAAGTACACTGGCATCTAAAGGCTACTCCGCCTAATGAAATCACCATCAGGCGAAATAACTTTTTCTAGTTGACGCATTGTGAGAATATTTGTTGGTAGCCCCCTCAACGACGCCCCCCTTGTGAAATCAAACTAGAGAGCCCTTTGATCTAC